TTTAAGAACTTATTTCTAAATAGTAATAATCTATATACATATATAATGTACAATACTTGAAATGTGACTGTATTTTACAAAATACTAGTCTGCTAAAACACAGCCAAGACAGGCCACTTTGTAAAGACTAAAAGTCAGTTTTATGTTATTGGATATTGTAACATGAGTGCACATGTGCCACGTCATTGTAACTTCTGCATTGTTAGCCAGGCATGGCTGAAAGGTCAATATAATAAAAAGAATAAATATATATAAATGTATAATGTTATCAGATTTAAGCTATTTAGTCTAAGCATTTATGTTTTCGTGTTATAATCTGTGTTCATTCTAGAATGAAAGAGGCATAATTTATATTTTTTTCCTAATTTTTTATGGTGGTTACAAGATCGGTCAAATCTACCGAACCCATACAGAGATTCATTCCCGAAAATAACAGATAAAATATAAAGTTTTTTCTTAAGAAATGTTTTATAACTATCTGGACATTATAAAGATTTCACATGTGAAATTTGAAAATTACTTTAAATGTTAGATAGGCAACAAAGTTATTTCTGAGTCAATTTAAATGAAAGGTGATTTTCCTGTCAAGAATAAAAATATATATTTTCATCTTAAAGTTTTCATACATCATTTGCAATAACTTTCAGAAAATCATAAATGAAGTTTTTCAGTAAAATTTTGTCTGTTATTTTCTCTAATTCTAAATGTACTGAAATCATGAAATGAAAAGTTCAAAAATATGAAATAACATGAATAATACCTTTTTTTTCTTTCTTTCTCTTCTTTGAATGCACCATTTGTTGCAAGACTTTCAACTTATTTGTCTTCACGATTTCAACTGCTAACATTTTATTATCTGTATTTCAGACCACAGGATACCATCAAAAGCAATAAAAACCACAGCCCATTATCTGTGTTCCATAGACTTTATGTAACACCACATGACTTTGCACTCATGCCTTAACTGTCTGAAAACCTCGGTGAATTTTACACATTTGGGTCTCCAAACAATAATTCATCTTTCAAACATGAATTTTAAAATATATCAGTTACTTCACAGCTCTAACACAATACATTTATATCAAGAGAATACTCTCTTTGCCAAATTCAAAACAACAGTTGAAGAGTTGGTTATATATATACATGAGCATCAGCCATGTAAGCTTGATCAGCAAGCAATCTGAAAGGTCAGAGAAGGAAAAGAGAGAGATTTTTCTGGTGGGTTTCAGAAATTTATTAAAATCTTAGCATACAGAGAATACAGGAGGTTCAAATTTTAGATTTGTGCTTGTAATTATGAATATATAGTTTCTAATTGGTTGGAAATTACAGCAGCCAATTTTATAAGTTAAAAACTTTTGTAGTGAAGAATTTGTACCTGATATGTGACACACACAAATGAAGTTTGAGATATTTTATATTCGAAACTTTGATTATATTAATATAAAAATTTAATTTATCATATTTTCCCAAATATAATGCACGTTTTTTTCCCTCCAAATACCTCCCCAAAAAACTATATACACACACACACATTCAATTTGTTAGGTATTTTGTTAAAAGCTAAAACTGAAAATCATTAAAGTATCATTTCAGAAAAAGTTGTAATGGACGGAACAGATGATGAAATGCTGTGGAAATCAGAAGAGGATGAAGCAAAAGTTAAAGAAAACAAATGTGATGGTAGCAACAATTCTAGCAATACCGAAGATTTATGCAAAGATCAATGATTTGCTTTGTGTATTACCACATACAAACTTTCCAAAAAATATGTAAAACTCACACACACACACACAAAATTTCCAAAAATGTTTAATACAGCAATAGTTGTTTACTTTATTTAGAAACTATTCAATACATTTTGTACAACTGATGTGTCAAAAAACAAATTTTCTTCAAGTTATCCTTTCAAAATTGGATGCACATTATATTTGGGCAAATATGGTATAAACTGTTTTCATGACATGTTTATTGGCATCCACTGATAATAAAATTATTTAATTAACAATTGAGTGTAAACAATGTAAAAAATCACGACATTCACACTTTGACCCACTCATGTGAAAACAGTTAAACAGAAACGATCATAAATCATTATTCAACATCATCCAAAAACATTTAACAAATTAGAAAGAACAGTAACATTAAGTGTCTTTAACAGTTAATCAGACCGATCATAAATCATTACCCACAAAAAATTTAATACAATTAAAAATAAAACACTTCAAAAACTTACTTGAAATAGCAGAAAAGCATCAGCAGCACAAGGCCTTAATGACTTTGGTGGAATTCTGCTTCCAACTTTTAATTCTTCAACATTTAATTCTGCCACACGATCTAAGCAAAAAAAGTAGCAATGGTTATCTTCCTGAGTGAGATTTAACTAACACATCATTAGTGTAGTTTAAACAATCTAATTAGAACAAACAAATCCACAAATACCTTACTGAGTAAGATTTAACTAACACATCAGTAGTATAATTTAAAAAAATCTAACTAAAAACAAATACCTTACTGAGTGAGATTTAACTAACACATCAGTAGCATAGTTTAAACAATCTAACTAAAAACAAACAAATTCACAAATACCTTACTGAGTGAGATTTAACTAACACATCAGTAGCATAGTTTAAACAATCTAACTAAAAACAAACAAATTCACAAACACCTTACTGAGTGAGATTTAACTAACACATCAGTAGCATAGTTTAAACAATCTAACTAAAAACAAACAAATTCACAAATACCTTACTGAGTGAGATTTAACTAACACATCAGTAGCATAGTTTAAACAATCTAACTAAAAACAAACATCTTACTGAGTGAGATTTAACTAACACATCAGTAGCATAGTTTAAACAATCTAACTAAAAACAAACACCTTACTGAGTGAGATTTAACTAACACATCAGTAGCATAGTTTAAACAGTCAAACTAAAAACAAACATCTTACTGAGTGAGATTTAACTAACACATCAGTAGCATAGTTTAAACAATCTAACTAAAAACAAACATCTTACTGAATGAGATTTAACTAACACATCAGTAGCATAGTTTAAACAGTCTAACTAAAAACAAACAAATTCCAAAATACCTTACTGAGTGAGATTTAACTAACACATCAGTAGCATAGTTTAAACAGTCTAACTAAAAACAAACAAATTCACAAACACCTGACTGACTGAGATTTTACTAACACATCATTAGTGTAGTTTAAACAATCTAATGAGAACAAACAAATTCACAAACACCTTACTGAATGTATTTTTTAATATTTTAAACAGTTTGCCTGGCTGAATAATTCACCATAATAAATTAGAATAATTAATGCTGCTTATTCTTAGAACTCTTAAATAAATACAGAATCGCTGTGTGAATAAAAGACATCTCAAAACACTATACATATAACATACGCTCCAAACAACTATATTTAGTGTAGTTTTTTTCTTTCGACTTGCCCTTTTTCAGGGTAAACAAAGATGGATAAAATTCCTTGAAACTGTTATAACTCAGTGAGGAGTGGTAAGTTTAACGATAGAATGGGTTTCACATCAATTTTTTTATATTTAAACAGCTGAATGAGATTTAACTGATGCATATGTGTAGATCAAACAACTGTCACCATCTTATTAGCTCATTACAGAAATACAAAAGAAGATACAAAAACAAATTAGGAAAACTGTGCAGCTTTTTAATGTAACTCTTTGTTCCCAGGATAAATCTGACAGGTGATGCTGGAGAATCCACTAAATGTAAATATAATAAAATAATCCACACAACAAAAAGTTTATCAGACAAAGTTAGGTTCACATATATTTATTATGATCCTGATTTTCATGCACTATACCTTCATTTGGTAGAGTATCTTCTGTCTGTAGTCTCTCAAACACTACAGCCACTAACTGCCGTACCGTTGCAGAGGCTGTGTTGTTTGTAGTGCTGTTTTTGGTGAAATGCAATCGAAAACACAGAACCAAAGCCTGAAACATACAGAAAAAGATGTTTTAAAAGTTTATTAAAAATGTATTTGGACACAAGTTGTGTTTTATCATATCATGAATTTGTGGTTTCCAAGTTCTTATGTATTTAACTAAAAAATGGAAACACAAATAACAATTTTGGTGATAAACAACTCTGACATCATTATATAACCATGGCTAAAAACAACCCATCGTCATTATGCACTTCAAGTAACCACTTTTATTATGAAATTTTAAAGTTTTTAGAAAACTTGAATATAACTTTGGTATAACATTATTTTGACATTTTCTACTGATGAGTAAGTTAACTTCTGTATTTTATACACTAACTTACATTAGGTAGTAAACAATGAATAAATACAATTAGTGAAAATTATATGAAACTTACAAAAGTGTACATACAATTTAAAGCAAGTTAAATGGAGATTAAAAGTAAAAATAACCAAGCAGTTTCATGCAAATCACATGAAGGCTAACAACAGACCAACATTTTAATGCTTTTTGGACTGGAGAGGTGTCACTGGTATACCCTGCTTTGTTCCCTTTCACAGGGTGAACACTTAAAAAAATAGCATGAAACTTTGGATAAAATTACTAAAAAAACCTAGCTTCTGCCATTAAAAATTCATGTAATGTTATTAGGTATTTATGATATTTTTAGGCTGTAAAATTTCCATCTCAGAATTTCAGTATATCTTACTGTTGATCAGAAAGTTCCATTTTATGTTTCCAGTCAATTTCAATTTGATTAATATTTAGTTACAGATTTTTTTTAAATACTTTATTTTGCCAGTTACAGTAGGCATAACTTCCAGCTATAAATCATAAAAAGAAAGGCCAGAACTGAGAAAGATTTATCTATGACCTAGGACTTCACTTTTCAAAATTCAATCATCATTACTCTTGTCAGGCTAGCAATATTATTGGTTGAGATCAATTTGTACCTAATAAATATAGTTTCTTTTCAATGAACAATATGTTTCTTTATTTGTTTACATTATTTGAATATGATAAACTAAACATTAATATTCAATAAATATGGATTTGAGTCATCAGAATATTTTGCCATCACCTAGAACAAAAAGAACATCTAAAGAAACTATAAATACATTCTCAAATCTGTGGTATATTCCCAAGATTTCGAAACATCCAACTGGATTCCTTGGTTCACCCTTACAGGAGTCCAGGGAGCCAGTACCTGGAGAAACTATAAATTACTACTTAAACCACCTTATTTACTCTATACAAATGTACATAGTTTATAATATCCAATAGAATTTATCTACTGTTATAGCTATTTTCAAAGTTAAACTTAATTATTGATTATGAAGACCACATGCTATAACATCATAAAAGGGTTGCAAGAAAGAGCTGTAGCCATAAAAAACATCACATGATAAACAAGACATAAATCATTATATTTTCAAGAGATAATAGTTTAGTAGCAAATATACACCTATAATTTGGAATGGGTGAAAAAAATTATAAAAAACAATAAATACATTACACTGGACAACAAAAAATTTGTTACTCGACAAAACTTGTGTGTTTCAGGGTAATTTGATGGTGCTAATTTCAAAAATGTTGTCAGAATTTGTCCATCACCTTTAGATTTTGAGTTATTGTAATATCTCAATATTTTATCACCACTATGTGATCATGCAATCAACTCAGTACAATAGATATATGTTGTGAAATTACATTTACTTGGATAGTTTAATGGGTAAAATTCATATATTTTTGATAACTTCAAACATTGACTGTATTATATTAGTGTAAAATTCCAAATATATTGTTCATATATGTTATTTGTTCTTGATATAATTGTAGCAAATTGAACCACTTTTGCCTCATTCCCACGCTCACCTACTCCACCTGGGAATCACGGAACCCTCACATGCTCAGTTTGCTATAAAATTGAGAAGTCCCATGATCGAGCATAAAAGGGAAGGAGTCAGACACCTCTCTCTCAGTTGCCTTTCACTCACTCAGTTGGTTACTTTGTCTCACTCCAAGCACAGTCAAAACAAAGTCCAATCGTCTTCCTCCCTCATACCCGCAATATGATTAAATTCTGCAAAAATTTGATTTTTAAAATCTTTTGAAATCTGGTTCTGTAAACATAAATTATTTTATATTTCTTAGAAAATCATATGAAATGCTTGCTGCCTCCAGTTCAAGTAAAGTCCAAAAATGCAAAAATCAACCAATCAGTTTCTGCTACATCTGTGGAAAATATAGTTTTACGATAGTAAAACATCACACACACAAGGTAAAGGTAACTTACTACCACTATTTTGGCTGTCAAATTGGTGACCAAGAAAATTATTTGGCTCTACATGTTGTACAATTTGCACATCTGGCTTGATACAGTAACTGAATAAGAAGAAAGTTTGACATTTGCAGTTCCCATGATATGCCATGAGCTCAAAGATCATCTAACTGACTGTTATTTTTGTATGACTAATGTTTCTGGATATTCATGCAGAACTAAACAATATTTTAAATATCCAGATATATCATCTGCAATGAAACTAGTATCTCATAGGAATGGTCTTCCAGGGCCACATCCACTAACAAATGGGGAAACAGAAGAGTTATTCTGCAAAGAAGACAATGGATCATCTTCATCCTCTTAATCTGGTAATTCAATTCCTGTGGTACTTCAACATAAACTGCCTCATCTGATCACACAAGAATAGCTAGATAATTTGATTCATGACATGTCTCTATCAAAATAGCATGGGGAACTCCTTGGCTCTCATTTACAGCAATGGAATTTATTAGATCCAGGAATAAGTTTCAATTTACTGAAGTCACCATCAAAGTCTTGCTTCTCACTACAGCATGCAAAATACTTTGTGTTTCCATAGAAATATTAACCTTTTTGCCCCCAGGTATCCTTTACTACACATGACAGAAAATTTTAGTGTCTTACATTCAAAATATAATTAAACTACTTTCTGTTTATGTTATACCAATTAGTGTAGCATAAAATCATAGCTAATAATCTATATTTTAATAGTATATAAGATTTAAGTTTGTAATTCTACAAGACAATATTGAAATAAATCTTGAACTTCCCCTAGTGTGTCACTCATAACACATTTTCTCTAAGCATCTTGTCTTCTCTATTTAATATACCACCCCTTGAAAAAGTATGAAATTAAACATAATTTACTCTCTATAGAATCATCATTGCTCAAACAAAACAAAATTTTTATAGCCTTAGATTTTGTTTGGTTACAGAATTATTGAATAGAAAATCAGAACCCTCCTACCACACCCACCTGTCACATTCTCTTTTTCCAGATTTGTTAATAGTTCTCTCTTATGTTTAATTACACATTACCTATAACCATAGAAAGTCAAGGTTTTCAACTATAACATTGTGTTCTGAACAGATAATAGACAATTTCTCTCAGAGTACAAGCAACGTACGTGTAAGAAACTTAATGACTAGCTTGGTAGAATTTGTAAGGCTCATGTCAGATAGTTAGAAAGCCAGAAAAAATTAGTTTAAGAGTTAGGGAAAATTGTCTACTTTTAGCATGTTATTAGTCTATGTTCTTTGGTGAATTTGTTAATTAAATAAAAATTATTTAGTGCATTACTACCATTAGTATAAAACAGTAGGCTTACATATCCTCGACAAACAACAGCAAGGAAAAGATGATTGGGTAAGTACTTTACTTCTTGTTTTCTAGGTTATTCTTTATTTATTATTATAAAAGTAACTAAAATA